TTTTTTTGGTTGTTCTTGATTTCTCGCGGTGTTTGCACATGTCTAGAAAATACCACCTCCAAAAAATGTAAGATTGGCATTCGTAAAGCACCTAGAATGCTGAAACAGGCCCCACGTTGTGGAACAAGCGGTGCTTCCAAACAAAAACTTCGCTTGACACCTATTGGTGTATATGGGTCCGCAGCAGTCTAATCTGTTGAAATATTTCAATTCGACTGTGACGTGGCCTGTCCTCCATGAACAGACTCAGATTCCACCGCAGTTTGTGTGTACAGCCCACTATTTTCGACAGGGAGATATAGATTCAAGGCAATCTGAGTTTCGTTTTCTGTTTCAGGAAATCATGAAATTTTTGCACATGCATGTCAATTTAAGTAGTCATGTGAAACTTGGTACAGGTTCACACGTTTTTTCATGCAAGTCTTGTGTTCAGCGTCAGGGCAGCGAAATTTGATTTTTCGCACCTTCCTGGATGCGGGAAGTTCCACATTTTGCAAAGACGGATGGGGGATATCCACACCCGTCCAAACGGTTCCCAGACATAACGTGTGCTGCAGGTTCCATACACAAACGAATACTCCATGATTCCCTTATGGAAAAAGTCATGGACCATTGCAGTGCTCAGACAGGTTAGGTCAGTGATGTCAGTCATGTTGTTGTGAGTAAGAGGAATTATTCAAGTTCAATATGCGAGTTTTTCAGAATGAACCGAGTTCGAAATATGTATTTTCGGTTGTGAAGTGATTGTTTGTCTTACACAGAGAAAATTAGTTGCAAGAGCTGGCAACAGATCAGTCGAAACAACATTAGTTTCAAGATCAAGTTTGCATACCGCCAATCAACAGAAGAGAAAAAGTTCTCTTTACGTGGGCTTTCCAATCTCAGAGAGAATGTTCGCCCTCATTCGGCGGGGTGGGTGGTGGTTTGCACACCTTGAGTGAACGCTCTGGTGCCAGGGAGTGCAAGCTTTGTTTCTGAAAGGAAGTTTTTGGAACCCTGACGTTTGACAGCGATTAACCTTTGAAATCGCTAGCGATGGAATCCGTGCCGCCATTTGCCTTCTTGCATATCACGATTGGACCCAATCCATAGGGCCCTTTCGGTCAAGGACAAATACAGGCCAGAGCGTCTTCATTGTTTGACACCCCCGGCGCGAGACATACCTGCACTCTGCTGCCCTGTTGGTCGCCAATTGGACTTATGCTCCTTATCTGCCTTCCGCTGCATATTGGCCAAGCCGACTGGATGGCAGTACTTTTCTGCCACAACGTGTAACATATACTGGCTTGAGAGCAAGTCGGCCTTCTGAGTGGTCACGGCGCGCTTTGCTGAATTCGCGGCAAGCCCAGCTTGGATTCTCCCACATTATTGCCAATTTGTACAATGTACAGCGCGTGCAAATTTGCTACTCTACAGAGCATTTTCTTCCGTACGCTCTTTCATGCACAGCCTGCACGATTTTTCTCGAAATGGTGTTTTGAAACCATGGGAGTGTTTTTTCGAGCATCAGCTTGGACATACACATTTGGGCTTCAAGTTGATGTGATTTGTGTTTTGGAAGACACGATGCCAACTCGGGTTGACGGCCGCAAGCATGAAGCGGGTCAGGCTACGACATGTCTACGCTTCTTTTTTAGTGCTCTCGAAGCACGTTTAAAAATTCAATGCCAGTGTGCAAGAACCATTCGGGACCCAGGTGTGTGTGTGTGTGTGTGTGGCCCCTGGCAAAGTTTTGATTGGTTCATGGTGGCCCGTGTTCATTTTCGAAGCAAATGATGCAGTACACCGACAATTTCTGTATTTTCATGCAATTCTGCCGCAGGTTCTTCTTGTAAGCACGTGGTGGAAAGCAAAAAGTGAAGTCGGGAACTTTCGCATTGAAGAAAACTGGCAAATGTTGCCTCGGATGCACTTCGTTTTTGACACAGTTCTGCTTTTTGCGTTGGTGCTAGTTGTTCGCTTGCGTTCTGTTTCGCGTCATGTTTCTGTATCTTATCCAGTCACGCGCAATTGCATTTGGTCATGGATTCATTCCTTCGCCACTTGAGCTCCAATTTTGTGTTTGTTCAGTGAGACACCGGTGTCCCGTGTCGGCTATGTCAACTGTGGAAATGTTTCTCGGCTTACAATTTGTCACCATCTTGTATGGTAGTGTTGGTTTACGTTATGTGGAGGTTGGCAGACTGTGGCTTGTCATGGGTCGAGGCCAAAATACGTTGGCTTTGATGCCACACCTCCAGCTCAAGGGCTGTATGATCCGCGCAACGAGAAGGAACGTCTTGCTTTATGTAAGAACTCTAGTCAATGTTGTTGGTGTACATGCAATGTCAGGACAGCTGTGGAGTTGGTATGGTTGCGGACATCACAGGCAGGCCAAGAGTTCCTTGAAATTGGTTGTGTGTTTTCTTGACAGGCACCCCGTCCCGGACCATTGTCGATGGGGCGCTCCAGGCATGCCGTGTGGATGAGCATTTTCAAAGAGAGTGAGTCTTGTCAATTTCCTCTTTAGACTCATGGTTCATCGTTTTGTGCCATTTCAGATTCATCTTGGCAGCAGGTTCTTGAGAATCTGGATCACAGAGGTGCTCGCGGCTGTGAAAAGGACAGGGTTTCGTAGGTGGTTTCGTCCCTGGACTTTTGTCTCATGAGCTTTCACTTGCCTTCACGTTGCCAGGACACTGGTGATGGTGCTGGCATCCTGTGTGGGATTCCAGACCGCTTTATGCGGCGTGTTGCGTCGGAGATGTCAGTGGAGCTGCCACCTCCTCGCGAGCAGCGCAGCTGCAGGCTACGGTAACCCATGTACGAGGCTTCCAATTGCGTCCCGTTTCACTCCGTCTCATTTTTTTGTGGAGCTTTGCAACCTATGAGAGTGCAGCAAGCTGAACAATCTGCACATTGCCTCACAACGAGCTGCAACTGAGGTATGCCGTGGGCAACGTCTTTCTGGACAGGGGCGTATGCCTTATAGGGGCAGCATATGAGACAACAGCGGTTTGTGGTTCGCAAGTTGGAAAGACAGCTGCAGCCAACAGAGGTGAAGATGGCACTGCGGAAGGCAAGCGCATTTTTGAACAGAGCCTTAGCAGCCTTCGTTTGTAAGCACCAGGTCTGTCCAGCATCAGATTTTGTTTTGCAGGTAGCTCGTTTGTTGACGATCTGGATCAATTTTCGTGGGGGCTTCACGACCTTGATGTCAGACCGTGTTTTGCTAGTGGGATCGTGCATGTCCTCCAAGCATGACAAAAACCACATCTGCTGACAATTCTTTCCATGAGCATTTCGATTATGTTCCTAAGAAGTTCCTGGTTTGCTATAAATGGCTGCATGTGCAAAAACATTCAGCTGCTGAGCTGGCTTGCCTAGCAAAGACCCGACAGCCGAAAAAGACAGTGAACTGATGTAAACCTGCTATGACGTGCTGAGGGTGTGTGCTTCGATCGATGGTCTCCGAATGATTGCCTGGCGACGGGTGCCAGTGGAATCTGATTGCCTGGGCAAAACTGCCACTCCTCTGCAATTGAGTTTCGACAAGCTTCGCAGGGACATGCACATCACCAGAAGGAAGGTGCGAATTAAAGCACCTATTAGCATGAGACAACTGACAAAGCTGAGGAGCTCTGTCCAGCCTAGCAGTTTTAAAGGACAACGCTGTCTGCCTTCATTGACAGCTTGTCACTGTCCAAGAAAGTGTAGGGACATGTACCCGTCCGAAAGTGCTTTCGGGGGAATGAGAATACCGTTTGCTCAAAAACTGTGAACTCCATTCTGGGCCACTGCTTGAGCCCAGTCCAGCGGCCTCCTACTTCGGGCATGCTGGGCTTTATGATGATGAGCACGAACGGGGTTGGGATTCAAGTGATTGGTTCCTTTGGTGAAAATGCTGATATGGTAGACATCATTGATGTTAATTCAACACTATCCAAGACCGTAGACAACTCGAGATGGTACACTTATGCCGTGTATATTTGCCAGCGGAGAGTATGTCTCTAGCTGTGCTTGTGTTTTCCGCTAAAGATTGGCCACACATAAGTTTGTAGACTGCTCCCAAACCATCTTGCGATTTTTGAGGTACACAAAACTCCCTCCAAGATGCCAAAGCTGGAAAGTGGTGGGATGACAAGGTACTAGCACACGTACTGTATTTGAGCTCTCGTCAGGTGCTTGATGAGGTGCCCATCCAAGCAGGTACTAGCCTTCCCGAGAGGTGCCCTTTGCTTCCGTGATAATTTCCTGTAGAGGTGGCATCTCCAAACTCTATTTCAAGCTTGGACTTTTATTAGAGTGAGTAGGCTTTTTCTCGGATGTGTAGCAAGAAACCAAGCTTTCAGTGCTACGCATGTCAAGGGGTTTACACGACTTCAATTAGTGCTGATATGCGGTGCAAGAGATCAGCATGCCTGTCCATGGACAGGGGGACAGGGATTAGCGTGTATAAAGGTGGTCATGGTCAGTTGCACAGTTGTTGCAAGACCCACTGAGCTGAAACACATAGCATAACAGCGGCAAGGACGAACACGTATAGCTTTCACAGCTGAGGCCAGAGATCATGAGCCAACCATCGAGCAAGCCTTCATTGCCGCCGAAGGCCACCTGTCACCATGATTTGTGACCTTGCTGTCCACTCCGGCATCCTGCAACCAGGTGAGCTGAAGACAAACCTCACGAAGTTTGAGGCCGCCCTCTTCGTCCTCCGAAAGCGTGCTGCCAACATGGCGGCTCAACAGCCAGGATTACCCTTCTATGTATCCTGACAGCAAGCAAGGCATGCAATGAAACATGGTCTTGGTGCAGCTATGGCAGCATCTTGTTGTTTTACCGGCAGGTGTGCTCTTTGTCGCCAAGAATCATCAACTACAAGGGCATGCTCACATGTCCAGGCTCTTAAGAGAGTTGAGACTATGTGCATGATTCCAAGATTCCAAGATCGTTTGGCTGGAGGTCTCGTCAGATATTTTCTGGATCTGCAAGAGGATGACTTTGAGTCTCATGTGGCGATTCTTGGTGTGATTTTGGCAATTGCACTTGTTGTAATTTGTTCATTTTGCGTGTGACCTGTGGCTTGCGCGCCCACGAGAATTTATGGAGTGAAGACTGGCCTGCTAAGCAAGGCTTGTTCACAGTCGCTTCTCCACGAACACCTTCCCTGCGTGGCGCCGCGCACATCCCTTCCGCCACATCTGCCATAACGGGGAAATCAACACGCTGAAAGGCAAGACGACGATGTGACGGTCATATTATGGAAATATAACGGCATTCAACCATGGGCTATGTTTATTTCGAAGGAACTTCTAGCCCTGCCCATCGGCAGACATTTTCGGATTCCGCTATGAGCTGCGTGGTTTTCAGCAGGGATGTACTCCCAGCTCAAAGGCCATACATCGGTGCTAATTGTTACCTTTAATGGGTGTTTGAAAAGCGGTCCAGATGCCATCCTTCTTGTCAGCTTTGCGTCCCATGGTTAGGCACAAGTTTCCCGAGCAGGGTTGGAGTGGCAGGAAACGTCAACTTCGCTCGAGCACGCGAAGGGCTGATGAAGTCTGAGCTTTTGGGTGCTGACCTGGAGCAGTGCTTTCCATTGATGGAGCTGGAGCCGACCTTACTCTGGGAACATGCTGCATTTGCTACACGGCAGTTAATGGCCAAGGCTGCGTCTTGATGAACGTTTTTTTTTAATCATTACTTGACTTGAGTCATGAGGACCAAACCGACAGCGGAATCTTTGACAACTTCTTGGAAGTACTGACAATCTCAGGTGGATTGCTTTTTTTTTTGTTTTTTGCAGAGTCATGCTGCCATGACTTTTCCATGAAGAAGACCCGTCGGCACAAGTTGAAATTTGCAGTCAGCTTTCTAGTCTGCACACTTACTATTCACCAGATTAGTTGCTTCAGGCCGCACGCTGCCAGAAGCAGTGGCCATGATGATGCCTCCTGCATGGGTGTCCCGGCAGCCACTGAGGCACATCGATCTAAAGCACCCACACGCATGACTCGGACAGAGGAGAACTCGGACTCCATGGACCCAACGCTGCGCGACTACTACAAGTACCAAGCTGCCATCATGGAACCCTGGGATGGGCCAGCTCTGGTTTGTTTTACAGATGGCGATGGTGTCGGACGGGGTTGTGTTGAGCTCCCTTTCCCGGCGTTTAGCAGATCCTCCACAACTTCGTGTGAGGAGCTTCGCTTGACAGGAATGGCCTCAGACCTTGCCGATACTATGAAGCTTGCCCATAAAAGTTTTGCCGCATTCAAGCTTGGGAGGCAGTCAAGTAAATGCATGCCAACATGCTGCACGGGCAAAGGTGACGAAGGACAACAAGCTTATCGTCTCCTCGGAGTGCGGCGTGCTCAAGATGCCTCCGGATAGCATCGTGGCAAAGGGCCGCCTGTCACCAGGCTTTGGGGGCACTTTGCCATGCTGTGCAGGTTGTTCAAGCCCTCTGCTGGCTGGGTTTGCACTGGCGCTCGTGAATGGCTACTATAGAGGTTGAATGTGACTGCCTGCAGGCAAGATGCTCTGGGCAGACTTCAGCAAGCACACCTTGACCCAAGTGTCTTGCCATATATATAAAGCTTCCATGTGCAAGTGCTTCTTTGTTTGCAGATGATGCGGCCGAGATTCTGTTTCGTGAGGGTGTCTAGCAGTCTTGATCGCCTGCTGGATTTGTCAGTGTTCGTCATCATGTATGACCATCTCATGCCCTCTCTATTGCATGCCAAGGACGGCGACCTGAAGTCGCAGTTCGCTTCAGTCTCGCCATGGGGAGATTGGCTGAAGAGCGAAGCAATGACCATGGAGACACTGTTGCATCGCAGCAATCGGCATGGCCGGAAGACATGCGAGTAAAGCCAAGAGCGCCCACTAAGGCTGAATGCAGGCTCGACAACCGTAACGTCAATCCCAGACGATCTGCGGGCTCCCCTGCTGCGCGCTTTCGGCTACACGCAGGCGGCCAAAAGTGAGCTTGTTCACCTTTGTACGAGTCGAGGGCAGTGGGCCTTTGCAGGAATCCTTGGAATTGCTTCTCCTTCCGATGGGCAAAGACGCAATGCTTAAGACTGGGTGTTTGCCGCGGCTGAAATTTGAAGTTGCTCTCAGAAGATTAAAGTGTGCACTCCACTTAAGGATGGTGAGGAAGCCCTGGGGAGTATGGGCAATGACACACCTCTGGCCTGCCTGTCCGAGCAAAACCGTCCGGTCTTTGACTTCTTCTACCAGCTGTTTGCACAGGCCAGATCGCTTTCAATCTTGATGTCGCTGCTTAAGATCAACTACTTGACTGACCAAAAGCGATTGTTCTGTTATGCTCTGCCAGCATAGTGTTTGACAGGGCAATGTCCATAGCCGACAGGTGACCAACCCACCCATCGACCCGATTCGCGAGTCTGTCGTGATGTCGCTAGGCGGGTTGTGTCTCGTGCATACAACGCCTCATAAATGATTTACAGTAACTTCTCTGGCACAGGATGCTGGGTGGGTCCGGAGACCAACGTCCTGGGCTCACCAAGTCCTCAGCATTGCCAGCGGCTATGGTTGGACAAGCCTTGCTTGCTTCCAGCGACCTGGTTCTGATAAGAGGCACATGCGACCATGAACCAGCAGCTAGCTTATGACTCCAGCTGTACGTTGGTTTTGCAGCGCAGCTGTTGCAAGAAGGAAATCCAGATTTGCTTGCTGCTTGTGGGGCAGGTCGGCAGGAATTGCTGCCACTAAACCCGATGGTGCTAGCTGCGTGTTAGTGCACTTCCTGTGTCGGATGCAGTTTTGGCCAGAATCTTAGAATAGAATAGAAATACGACAAAGGTGTACGATCGCGCACCACGGGATGGGAGCTCGCGCGTATCAACCTGAAACCATGCATGTTCTTGACAGGGATCTTACGAATAGGGGACACTCCTGCTAAGAATTATATTCTTGCAAATTGGGTGTTATTCTGATTGAAGGACACTGAGATTCTCGATGTGCTTCTGGAGCAGGGGATCTGTAAGGTGCGAGGCAGAATGTGCTACAAAAACATCTCACCTAGTTGTGCAGAAGAGGGCTCAAGCCATGAAGACGGTGTTGATCGGGAAGTGCACGCGACCTAGGCTGAGATGGCTGCCTTGACCCACACCAACAAGCTCAAGGGTTGGCAGATCAAGTCCTGCGACACGACTTTCCCAGTGACTGAAGGTCGGGTGAAGCGATCAAACCTGAGAGACTTCCCGTGTGCAATACTTGCTGTGGTATCAGTAAATAGTTGTGTAGAGCTAGTCTGCCACTTGGCCTTCCAGTGAAGTGTTACTTTGGGCATTCCGGGCTGAGCGTGGCCGTCTAAACGATGCTGTCAACTACGGCCTATGGTAGGCTGAGCCAAGTAGCCGAGTGATGGTTACGCGTCCTGCGCCCGTCATCTCAGACGCAGACCATGGCTTTGCTGCTGTGGAGGTGCTACGGGCCTGGAGCGCCATCTTGCGCGCGTTGCCAAGGAGGCCACCACAGCAGCAAAGACACTGGGCAGTCCTTGATGTATTCTACTGCAACCGCTCTGCGTTTCTTTTTGGCTTTTTCTTTTCCAAGGAATGGCTTCCAGATCATCGTCCTTTCGGACAGGCCTGTCAAGCGTTGTCAATGTCAAGCTGGCAATTCTTTGGGTCCCATGGGCTAGATTGGTCCCATGGGCTAGATTCACAGCCTGCGCGTGCAAGAGTATGCGCAATTTGAATGGCAGACTACAACGGACATTTCTGTTAGCCGTTAGCACGACCCTCATGATTGTACGTGATGAAGTGCAATGTTTGAAACCGCGTTCATTGGTATTCATGCTTTTCTTGACGAACTTGCTTGACTACCTCGGCAGTCGGAGTTTTAATCGGAGACGAGCATTCAAGCGACTCTGATGCGTACGAAAATTCTGTTTGTTCTGTTTTCAAAGTCAATGCTTGTCAGCAATCGTGACTAGGGCACATGTTTCCTGGGTTGGGCTTGCCACAATAGTGATACGTGTTAGTTAGAGTTTTTGCTCTGTTGGCTGGCTTTCGCAGGGCAGCTTCCGAGCAGCACGCCCCGATGCCGTCGCTGCTCATCTGCGGCGCTGTGCACCAGGCGCTCGTCTCTGAGAAGCTCCGGACCAAGGCGCCGTGGGAGCGTGTGAAGCGTTGAAATCATCAAGTCAACCCCAGCATGGAGGGCAATGTGCAACTTGGGAGGTGGCACTTGTCCTTGAGAGTGGGGAGCCCTTCGAAGTGGCACATCATGCAGCTCGGACACCTCTTCTTGCTCAGTGCATTAACGTGGTTTTGTCCTAGAAGTTCCTTGTCTGCCGTGCTTACAGTCAGGCGCTGTTGCTGACCTTTGGTTGTGATGCCATCTTCCCGTACATGGCCTACGAAGCTCTTACCTTGCTTGGAGAAGAGGGCAAGCTCCTGTGCTGCTGTTAGTGCAGTTGGAGGATAGTCTGTACAGGTGAAGCCCTCAGAAGGGCAGGTCATGTTAGCAGCTAGTACGGAATGTCATCACAAGATTGCAGCCTAAATTTCTTGTCTTTGGTGCTTCAAAATGTGTTTGAAATCAATCACGGTTGGCAGCGTCTTGGGCTACGCATGCATTGGAGCTACGTGTTGTACTTCTCTTTTGTGAGGCTTGTGGCCTTGTCGAAGATAGCACGCAACATGTTCCCGGCAAGCATTGTAGGGTTGAAGTCCGGAAGCCTTTCAACCATTCGTGAGGGGATCTTCTCAGTACTCGAGGCGCTTGCAGGCCCTGCGTTATCGCAACAGAGTAAACTGCAAGGTTCGGAAGCGAGTGGTCAAAGGAGGAGAAATTTGCCAAATACCAAAAGGCTGTGGGAAAGGGCCTGCTGATTCTTGACTGCACGCAAGCTGGCGGCTAAGTGCAAGCAACTACGGATAATGCTCATTGAGATCCTTCCAAGGAAGATCATGGCAAAGATGGGCATCTCTACTTTGCGCAGCTACAAGGGGGCCCAGATTGCCGATGCCATTGGTTTGAGCAAGGAGCGGCTCTTGTTGATCATAGGCGGCCATGCTGCATGTGGGAAACTGCAAGATGAATGGGTGCCAGGGTCTAGTGTAAAATGTGTAAACCTGAAACTCAATCATGCTTGGCAGACTTTACATCTACTGCCAGGAGGTGGCGGAAATGTGCTTCACTGGCATTGCAAGTCAGCTGAGCGGTTTGGGATTTGAGCAGATTGCTCTGCGCACGCTCTCTGTTCACGACCGTGGCTTCTCGCCCGACGGTGGATACACTGTGACCTGTCCAGCTAAAGATGGATAGTTGGGCATGGAGCGTTCGCGTCGCGCTGGCTGAAGGGCATTTCCAGACGACTGGTTAAATGACTTGTTTGACAGTTGGGGATAAGTTTTTTTCAGTTGCTGCGTCGTTGGCAAGTTCCTGCTAGCTCGTGTCCTCATGGGAAGCCTGCTCACTCCTCATGGCCCCCTAGCGTGACATTGATCAACCTTCACACTCAGCTGAAGTATGCTGAAGTCAGAGTATAGCGTGTAGCAGGTGAAGAGCTTGTTCTCGAGCTTGCCCAACGAGGGCAAGTACCATTACCGCCAAGGAGCTGGAGTTACTAGTTAGAAGCTTTTACCCCCATTGCTTCAGATTGAGGAGCTGATGCAGAGAAGCATCTTAACGATCCAATGGTCATTGCCAAGCTGCAGGAGGTGCTTATTCTGTCCCCCATTCCTTTTTGAGCTGCGGCAACATGCATGTGCCAGGCAGCCAGAACCAACTCGCGGGCAGCTTACGCCTCCTTTGCGACCCTTCACAACAATCTGGTGCCACTTGGGTAAGGATCTGGGAGGCAGGCTTGAACTCTTTATCCATGCAGGTCAAGGCATCGTCCATCCGTGGGCAGCTGGACTTCAAGCCGCCCAGGCCGCGGAGAGATGATTGGGTTTTTGCGAAGACTTCAGCTTACTACAGATGACTATGACTATGTTCTTCAAAGGTGCAAGGCATAGAAAAAGAAAGGCGCCAGTCTTGACTACCAGCCTGATGAAGCATTCCGCTGCGCAACGAAGGGTGCGTGGCAAGACTGGCTCTCTTTATTGCGGTACTTTCTCAGGCATGAATTTCAAGCCTGGCAGGCAGTACGGCCGAGCGCCGCTTCCTTTGGAGGCTGTTGAGCCTGCGAGCGAAATCGTCAAGCGCTTCCGCACAGGTTCGCTGATGTTGTGGGATCAGATGCGATCTTGTGATGTAGCATTGGCTGCACAGGTGCCATGTCCTACGGGTCCATTTCCATGGAGGTGCGCGCAGTTGCTCTGCCACTCATTGGTGCAGTAGTTTGCGCTAGGATGACTTGGACAGCCTGAGAGGCGCACAGCACGCTGGCAATTGCACTGAACCGGCTGGGTGGATTCTCCAATACCGGGGAGGGCGGCGAAGATCCAGCGAGGCCAGAGGCTGCAGACAGAAAGTGTACCTGAAGAATGACTTACTCTGTGTGATCATTGTAGTAAGTTACACGCAGGTACGAGCCGCTGCCCAATGGAGATTCTTTGAAGTCGGCCATCAAGCAGGTCGCATCCGGCCGCTTCGGTGTCACGATGGAGTATCTCTCTAACGCACAAGAATTGCAGATCAAGATGGCTCAGGGTGCCAAGCCCGGTGAAGGAGGAGAGCTTCCAGGAAAAAAGGTGCATGGAGGCATTGCAAAGACACGAAATTCCACGCCTGGCGTTGGCCTCATTTCACCTCCACCTCATCACGACATTTACTCGATCGAAGACCTCGCGCAGCTGATCTTTGATCTCAAGAATTCCAACCCGGACGCAGGTGTTAGCGTCAAGCTTGTGAGCGAGATTGGAGTCGGTGTTGTCGCTACTGGTGTGGCCAAGTGCAAGGCTGACCACATCCTCATCAGCGGCTGTGATGGTGGTACTGGTGCATCCAAGTGGACGGGCATCAAGCATGCAGGTGCTCCATGGGAGATTGGCCTGGCTGAGACTCATCAGACACTCGTGCTGAATGGTTTGCGTGGTCGTGTGACCTTGGAGACTGATGGACAGCTCCGCACTGGTCGGGATGTGGTGATCGCTGCCCTCCTGGGAGCTGAGCGCTTCGGCTTTGCCACGGCACCGCTCATAGCAATGGGCTGCATCATGATGCGCAAATGCCATCTCAATACATGCCCTGTGGGAATCGCGACTCAAGATCCGGTGCTGCGAAAGAAGTTCGAGGGATTGCCGGAGCATGTGGTCAACTACCTCATGCTGGTGGCCGAGGAGGCACCCCTGACAGCAGAAAGAACTCTCAGTGCTTGGTAGGGCAATCGATTCATTCGGTCTTCTGCCAAGTTATAGGTGAGAGTGCTCATGGCGAAGATGGGATTCCGCAATATGGATGAGCTCATCGGCCATGCTGAGGCCAAGTTTTTGAGCATCTTGTGTGAACTTATGATGGGAAGCTTGCACATTGGACGTGTATATATATATATATAAGTTTAACACATTGCGCATGCAGTGAGTTCATACAACCTGTCTTGTGCACTCCAGCCTTAGCCGGATGGCTGTTGCAAGACCGTATTCAGAGGGTGCTAGCTGTATTTCCCTAGCAATGCCCAGCAAAGCCTAGTCCAGCGCTTAGGTTCCCCAAGGGCGACGTTGTGCATTGCTCGGGTTTCTGAACTGCTCCACCAGGGTCCTCAGAGGGCTTCTTACAGCCAGCTCCACAACGAAGCAGAGTAGTGTCGTTGCCGGTGACGAACCCTTGATTGCTTTCGTCACACCACACAGAAGCAGCACAACTGAACACACTTTGCATGACTCAAGGCGTGAGGTTGAGAATTCCCGAAAAGACACACAAGCCATTTGGGGATTCCGCAGGGCACCCAAGCAAAATAGGCTTGGGGAGTGTGGAAGATTAGAGACTTCCCTAATGTCGCTTGGGAGCTGCTGGAGAAAGTTGCCCCAGAATCGACAAAGCAATAAGTCCGAACGCAGCTGAAATACTCAACTTTGAAGCCTGAGGTTCAAAAACAAACGTTGCCAGAGAGGTCCCCACATGCTCCAAGACACGATGGATGGTGAACTTGCCCGTGTCTCATGTCCAGGAAGCTAGGGTAGAGAAACGTAGTCCAGCTTCCCAGGATTTTGCAAGCTTCCAAGCCTCGCTCCCTTGAAGCCCCTTCCCTACCAACATAGTAATACGTTGTTGCATGTCAAAGCTGCCATGCTATTGGGGCCGCACTAATTTGTTGTGTCTTGCCGCTGGATCCTTAAGCGCACTTGCACGGGCAGTCAGATAGTTGCACGTGCACACAGGGTTGGATCAATGCTACAAAATCAATCAGTCCTGCGCAAGTAGGACCTTCCACTTGTCAACACAGGTGTGGTCGCTAGAGTTTGCCAGCCTGCCAGCCCAAACGCAATTTGTGCCTGTTTTCCTGTAACTTGTGCTGGACGATCTATCTTTCACGCAGTTGCAGGTGCTGCGGACTGACCCTGCTGTTCGCACTGGGCCACTTCTGTTGGATCCTATCCTGGCAGCAGCACACTCACTGCCTGATGCTGGCAAGATGGGCAACTTGAAAGAGATTGTGTACGTTTCCGGCATGTTTTGACCGTGACCTCTTGTGCCCGCAAAGGTAACATCGAGAACCGCAAGCTTTATGGGCAGGAGCACTTCATGGTTCTGCAAAGGATGATTGACCGCACGCTTGTGGAGGCAGGCCGCGCATTAGCAAGTCAAAACCATTTGCCAGATTAAGTTGCCCAGGACTGCAAGATGACTTTCCGCTATGGCGAGCGCTCCTATGTTCAGTACAATCACCTGAACAATGCAGACCGAACCTGCGGGACGTTGTTATCTCATGAGCGCCTTGACAAGAAGCGCTCCTGAAAGTTGCCCGTGCTGAATTTCCGCATTCTTGAGTCTGAGGATCTTCAAGCGATGGGGCAACAGCCTCCCACCCGGAACATGCCACATGCACCTTGTCTGAAGGTTTGAAGGCTTGAAGGATCTCTCCAAGCCTTGGACAGATGCTCAGCAAGTGGTTGGCAGGAAGCTTTTCGGCACCTCGGGCCAGTCGTTCGGTGCGTTCTCTGTGAAGGGAGTGCTTTTGGAGCTGGAGGGTGACTCACAGGCCTCTCTGGGTGCAGTCTCATGTGCCAGACAGCATTGCAGCGATAATTTGTGCAACCTTTTCGTACATGGTTCTCAAGATCGTCGTGCAGGACTACTTCGGCAAGGGCTTGAGTGGAGGTGCTCTTGTTGTGTACCCACCCAAGAAGGCCTGCGCATTGATTCAGCCTTCTTCTGAAAGTGTGTGAACCACTCCGGTTGGTTCGTGTCAACCTCAAGTCAACTTCAAGGCTGCTTGAGCCGCTGGCTGCTGGCTGCTGCTTGAGCTGCTTTTGACTTGTTGTTGAAGGCTTTGGAGCAGGGCTTCGAAGCGGCCAAGAACATCATCATCGGAAACACCGCTCCTCTGCCGGCTCTAGCGGCGTTTGGGTGGCCATCCTTCTGGTTTGTGCTGTGTGCTCTCTTTAAAGATGCATCTGCGAGGCTCTGTACGGGGCAACCTCCGGCGTTTGTTTCGTCAACGGCATTGCTGCAGAGCGCTTCGCAGCACTGCGACCGCACATCACCGTGCTAGGTGATTCCTGTCCTACCCTTTTCAATTTCAGGGGACCTACATTTTCCGTAAACTAAGGTCCGCAACTCGGGCGTGTGGGCTGTTGTGGAGGGAGCTGGTGACCACTGCTGCGAGTACATGACAGGCATAGCTAGCAAGAGGTTTTCAGTGGTATGCTAAGTGTAGGGAGAGAGAAGCTCTGAAATCAGGCGGTCGTGTCCTTGTGCTTGGACCGGTTGGCGACAACTTCGGTGCAGGCAGTTTGTGTTGGGCCTTGGCAGCTCCACTCAGCTTCTCATATGGAATCGAGGCATGAGCGGCGGCATCACCTGGATTTGGGACCCTTCCAAGACCTTTGAGGGCCGATCTGTGTCGCAGGAAGCGTTCGGCGTCAGAGTTCAGTTGCGGAAGTTGGTTGCCTCATGCTTCCGCAGGACCTGGAGATTGGACGGTTGGTGGCAGGCGACAGCTCAGATGTGTATCCGCATGAAGAGAAGGACTGAGCGGATCTAAGCGTGGTTGAAGCCACCGTTGCTCTTCTGATGGTGGGCAATACCAGGACTTGCAAATGCTTCTCAGTGCCCACAAGAACTGGACCAACAGACTTCAAGCTGCACTGAGGGTTTGTAGTATTGCGCATGGATGCAAATGGGGTTTTTCTGCTTTGTAGTATGGGGATCAAGGAAGTCTCAGGGTGTGCAAAGGAGATACCTGTTTAGAGTTTTGGAGTCGGTAGGTGGCCCGGTGATGCAGCACCCTCTTCTGTACATTCCGGCTGATTCTGCAAGCTTTCCAAGGCAAGCAGGCTGAGGAAATCTTGAAGCGCTGGCCCGCCTGCGTGTCGGAGTTTGTTCGCGTCTTCCCCAAGGACAAGTTTGGCGGAGCAAACTTCATAGCAGCTGCAGGATGTTTTTTTGTTTTGTGCCAGTGCAGGACTTCAAAGCTGCTGTCAAGGCAGCCATTGACCGTGGAGAGCACACGCCAATAGGCTGGTGCATGCTGGAGACTACGGTCGGCTGAAGGCTTTAGGCATTGACCTGAACTCTGCAGGCTCCATGCGCGAGTACCTTCCTCATCAGGAAGCTCTCAATGATCATTCCAACAAGCAGCGTATCCGAAAGCAGCCGAAGGTCAGAAGCTGCATTGACTTGTGCTTTGATTTCAGCCATGCGGCCAGGTCAGGAAGAATTCATTTCAGGACGACTCCACCCCTGTCAGCATCTAGAACGCAAATGCTCCCGTTGCATTTTTGAGTGGGGTGCTTTAAAGTTGACGAATGTCCAAATAAAATTCTTTCCTGACAAGGCATGGACATTGAAGATGTCGCCTTGTTCCAGAAGACCACGAAGGGAAATCGCCCCAAGAAGTTGCTTGTCCTGCGTTGCATCTGCGTTGTAGGCCGCTTGAAATATTTGCCCACTCTAGACTGGCAAACTTGAGTCAAGCACGCCTTCTGGAGAACGAAGGATTGAGGACTCCAAGCAGGTGGCCACATCGAACCGAGGCTGTACATTGAGGGGTTGGCGTCCGTGGAAGAGCAACAGTTCATCGTTTTTTTTGTGTGTATTAGTAGATTCTCCATACCTTCTACCTTCTGCTTCAGAGGCTTCCTGGAGGTGGACCGAGGTGATCTTCCGAAGCGAGGAGCCGTGGGGAGCCCTGAAAAGCCCTGAGGGTTGACACTGGCCTGTTGGGTTCCTTTCTTTTATATGGCTTTTCTTTATCTAGGGCCAGGGCTCTGAGCGTCTTTCCTTTCAGGATGCGACGCCATCGGCTCTCGTGCTTAGATTTGTTCTGTGCCGAAACACGCAGATTTCATATCATGATGCGTTTACTTGTGTGCTCGACAGGTAGAGGGATACACTGACGAGGGTTTTAGACCATCACGACAAAAAGAGTTGACGCTTGCACACAACCATCTAATCATCATGAGAAGCTTTTCAATCTATGCAAGGAATCGGCATCGCCCCCAGACTCCGATCTTTGCAGCCTGGCAAGTGCGCACTCGCCACAAAGCCAAAGTTGCCTTTACCGTCATGGTAATTTGCTGGTCGCCCATGACAGATGCCACAATGGGCGTAATGCAGAAGCTGCTGGGCGCTGCGAGCCTGCTCCGGTCGTTCGTCTGGCACGGCCTGCATCAAACTTCGGCGTTTGGTCGAGGGTCATAGGGTTCAGGGCCATAGCCAACCCTGCTGTGCGGGTCTTTCTCAGCTAGGTGCCCAACCTTTGCTATTCAGTTGATCTCTTGAGCTTCGGAATTGGAATTTGCCTCTGCCAGCCAGGTATCGCAAACACTCCGAGAACAGGGTACGGAACGACCTCCACAACCTAGACTCCAGAACCCTACTTGTCAGCCGCGCGCAGGGCAGGGCAGGGCAGGGCAGGGCAGGGCAGGGCAGGGCAGATGAAAAGTTGCATCGGTGCAGCAAGGCTCAACCAGCTACAGGACAGCAGTGTGAACGCAATGTTTTCTTCTCAACGATCTCACGCTCAACTGCGCGCTCTGGCGATCTGTCACCGGTCAGAACCATAAGCGGTTATCTCATGCAGGCCTGATGCGCAGGCCTTTTCACTCGAAGCGTTCGGTGAAGTGAAGCCGGGTGCGGGGTTCGTGCACACACTCACACACTGGTTTCACAGAGCATCCGGCTACAATGGACAAAGCACCTCATTCACTTGCTCCATGTGGACGATGGGTTCTTGAGCCAAACAGTAGCAGCAATGAGCTCTGGCACAGGTGTTGAAGCAGTAAAACCAGTAGCTTGTGCGAGGGTGCATTAGAGAATCGCACATGCCACGTCAAGATGACATGCGGTCACCCAATAGCCAGCGGTTTCTCATGTTGGAAAAGCCTTCCAATGTGGAGCTGCAGCTGCACACTCACGAAACGGTCGCCCAAACCCAGCGGCTCTCCATGTTGGAAAACTCGGGGCCAGAAACCTCCAAAATGTGGAACCCAACTACTGGTGAAGGGATGCCCTTAAATTTGGCCAGCGGCTCGGGTGTTGCGTTTTCATTTGTCGACCCCTCCTCTCTGTTGCCCAAGCCCAAAGCACTTACAAGGTGTTTGCTGTCAGTTTTGTTGTACGCTTCCTAGGGGGGTTTCTATTGGGTGTATTTTCATGCTTTGGAAAGGATTTTTGATTGAGGAATCGGTTTCGCGGAGGATTCAAGTAGGCGTTGGCATCATGTTCGCATAAAGGTATCCATGGCGTTTTTGTTCAGAGCTAGATTCAGCTAGATGTTCTGGATCAGTCGGTAAGAATTGGTATTCTCAAAAGGCCCCTGCACCCATTTTCAAAACGGGATTCCAAATTCCTTTTTGGATTGTAATTCAAGGGCTCTGCGCAGAGAGATGGAAGGAGTTGAGGAGCGCGTCGCGGACTTCAAAGAAATCCTCGCGAAGAAGGATGAGGCAATCATTGCCTTTTGATCTGATGCCTGACTTGGTGTTTGCGCATGCAACACATGTTGGACATGGACCTTTTTGGCAGGTAGAGGTTCAGACGCAGGCATCTCGCTGCATGGACTGCGGAACTCCTTTCTGCCATCAGTCGGTGACAGACAAGTCCGGCTGTCCTCTGGGCAACCTCATCCCGGCAACTGAGCTGCAAGCCTGAAGCAAGCGTTTCTGGGCATGACAATACTTCAGTGATGAATGTAGGGTAGGACACGCCTGCAGCTTCGATGTCACACAAGGAGTGGAATGACCTAGTGCGGAAGGGTGCATGGTTCGATGCTTTCAAGCGCCTCATGGCCACCAACAACTTCCCGGAGTTCACTGGGCGAGTTTGCCCGGCTCCTTGCGAAGGCGGCGTAAGCATCTTCCGGGGAAAGAGTCACAGTTGCTGATTCTGCGCTAATGCACGTGAGGCGCCTGCACACTTGGTATCATTGATGAACCGGCTTGAACCTCAGATCCGCACAGCATTGCACAGCATCGCACAGCAGCTGATGCATGCATGTCTTCATTGCTTCATCTGCAGGGGAAGAAGCGTCGCATTTCTTCCTGCAGCTTTCAACCAGGTGGCCATCAAGTCCGTGGAGCTGAGCATCATTGACAAGGCGTACGAGATGGGCTGGATGGTGCCAAGTCCGCCCAAGGTCAGAACAGACAAAAGGCCAGGTAATGAGCTCAAGAGCTCTTTCCAGCTACTGGTGCCTGGGCCGAGGATTGTCATTGTGGGTTCCGGGCCCTGTGCGCTGCCGAGCTTCAGGAAGTTCGGATCGAAGATCCCAGAAGTGATAGCTTCTCTAAGGTGGCTTGGCAGCCGCAGATCAGCTCAACAAGATGGGGCATCGGGTGACAGTCCTCGAGCGAGCTGACCGCATTGGAGGCAGAGCTGCGCCCGATTGCTCGCTCCCCTCCTGCGCCCCTCCACGTTTCCAAGTACACAACGCTGTCTGCTAGGCCTGATGATGTATGGTGTGCCCAACATGAAGACTGACAAGATGGATGTTGTCCAACGACGTGGCAAGCTTAGCCTCCGGACTCCGACATAGCCTGGCCTTAACAGACATGCGATGGGTCCTGCAATTGGCATGGATGAAGGAGTAGACATCATGAAGAGAGAGGGCATTACCTTCATATGCGGCCCTGCTGGACGTGTTGCAGAGAGCGTTGAGGCTGGTCGAGGGATGTGCAGATCCGTGTTTTTAGGTGCATGTCCACGCTACATGCAGGCACACATTGAGGGTACAAACATGGGCCCACGAGCCTCGCAGCTGTTGGAGGACATTGCCGGAGCTTGCATCTCAATTCTTTCCTTGAAAGATGTTTGACCTGCAGGAATACGATGCCGTTTTGCTTGCTGTTGGTGCCACTGTTGCCCGCGACATGCAATCGGCCACCTGGATCCAACTAGCGTGGGGCAGCAATTCTGGCAGAGACTGAGCCACACGCAAATCAGATCATTTGGTGGTGAGTCGATCGTATGTCGGGATTGGGCTGCCACACAGATGCACAGATTCTGAAGACCCCGGATTGGCACGAAACCAAATCGATACGCGTTAGGCTGTCCACCTGTGCCGTGGCAGAGAACGGTTTTGGAGTCATGGCTATGGGGCCATGGCATGACACTGATGGGTATTGGCTTCAAATGAGATTCAAGCTCTGCAAATAGGCTCCATATGGTAAGAAGACATAAATGGCACAAGCCTTGCATGTGCTGAGAAACTCGAATTGTCTTGAACCCTTGTTTTAGCTATGCAAAAAATGCTGGCGGAGCGGTTGGTTGGTTGGCTTCGCCTTTGCCTGTACTCTATGGATTGCCGTGAAATGATGTCTTAGAACATGTTACTCTGTTAATTAGTAAGTGCTGTGACTTTGGAAAAAACATGAGGGTTTTGCATTAGACCCGGACGACGCCGAAGAAGGTGTTTGGAATAGGCCGCCTAATCCACACAAGCTTTGCACGGACGGTCAAGACTAAAGGTCCAAGTGACCCACCTCTGGAAACGTCATGGTGCCACGGTTCAGCGAAACGTAAGGGCTGAGTTTCCAACGTTAGCGGCATCAGGGCGTAAAGTCGTTTTGCTTCCCTCACGCACGCTCACGGCACTGGAGTTTGCTGGAAGAGGGATTGCCTTATCCGCTCGGAGTCTTGCCCGAGTCCTGCTAACGGAACAATGTTGGGAACCTGCGCATACATTTCTGCGTCTGCGTCTGTTCCCTCCGCATGGCTCCTCTCTCTCTGCTTACCGCCTGCAAGATCAGCCAGCCCATTCCGCAAAGTGCGATGACATCCACGCAGTCACGACACCCATGACCGCATTCGTGTGATAAAGTTTTCCAGTTCTTGGGGCTTATGTAGCGCAGAGCAAAAACCCAAGGATCATTGACCAAGTCGCCCCGCCGACACTGCACTTCAAGAGTCCAGAACTATGAACCCAACAGCATCAGACCAAGATGTGTGGTTCCGGTATGGAATGGTGGGCACTCGCCACTTTACTGTGTCTACTACAGAGAGCACAGGCCGACTTTCCCACATGACCCCTGTCTTTGGGGTATGTAGTTCGTCACTGCAATGCGTGACTTTCAGCCACTTATGAAAACTGCATCTGCTTCGCAGTCTAAGCTCAGAAGCCAAGTGCACATATCTAAGCCTTCGTCGCGTGCCCGGCTTGTCGCTCGCGTGGAGGACTGTCAGCATGGAAGCCTGCATCCATCGCAGTAGTCTACTTGCAGCAAGAGGTATCCTGGACCTTACTCAGCAAGTATGTGAAAGGATCTCATACAGGCAATCTAGGGGCACTAAGTCAGTTCACACTGAAGGCGGCAGCAGCTTCTTGCACTGGTCTTCACTTGCATTCGCTTTCAGGTGCCAGGCCGTGACTTGAGCGGCGTTCACCTGGCTATGGACTACTTGACCCACAACACCAAGGCGATGGTAGTTTCGGGTGGAGTCGGGATATGGCCAGTTGTCAAACTATGCAGATGTATTCTTACGGCACCCGGTATGTAGGATATCAAGAAAGGCGCGAGAGTTGTTGCAATCTTTTGCAGGCGTTTGCAGCTCTCAGTTCTGATTGCCTGGTACCTTTCGGATCAGGCTCTGTTGGATGGTGGTGACGTCAGCAACAAGTGGCGCCGGTGGTGGGGAGCAAAGAAGAACGGCAACCAGGCTACAAGGAAGGTGAAGAATCAGTTGAGTGCAGATGCCAGAGCTTGCAGGCCGAGTTTCAGCAATTTGTTTTTTGCCTTTCCTGAGGTTTCGATCCAAAGACGCTGGATGCCAAGGACAAGAAAGTCATCGTCATCGGAGGCAAATGTACCTGTCGCACTTCTTACAGCGCGTGTACGGTGCCCATGTGTTTTGCTTGTTTAAATGCAAGCTGTGCGACTTCTCCAATTCTGGACTGCGTGCTGGTGAGACAGCAGGCGGTGACACTGGCAATGACTGCATCGGCACAGCTGTTCGACAGGGTGCCAAAGCAGTCCTGCGCTTGGCCGATGACATTGAGAATGACAAGTTTGTTCCCCTTGCCCTTTTGAAGTTTTTTTTTTTTTGAGGTTGTGAACCTGGAGCTCATGGGAAAGCCGCCAAAGCAGCGAGCTCCGCACAACCCTTGGCCCCACTGGCCCATGGTGTTCAAGGCACTGGGGAGAGCTGACATGAGGGTTGCTTCTAGGCATTCACAAACAGTGAACCTCTTAAAAAGCAGGTCGATTACGGTCACGAGGAGGCCTCCTGCCTTGGGGCATTTCGTTTGATTCACAGGTGCTGCATAGAACTTGTGGATGGCCCGTGCAGAAATACCAGAGACCTGACGGGCTAGCGGTGAAGTCAGCAAACCTGGGCAGAGCAAAGTTGTCGAGTGATGCGCAGGCCGCCAAGCAGCTGAACAGTGATCAGGACATTCGCAGCTAGGATGCAATACCTGGGGCAGAAGCCGATTCACTGAAAACGCATTGAGGCTTATGGTACTCGTATTGCTGACTGAGGCCACTACGGGGCTCTCACCAAGGCACGAATATCATGTCATTTTCTGGTGTTTGGAGAGGTCTGAACCTATGCATCAAGCTCAGGCAGGAAGTCTACTTTTTTTTGGCTTCCTCAGGAGTTCCTGGATGACGGCAATGGAAATGTGAAGGGCATCAAGATGGTGAACGTTCGATGGGAAAAGATTGACGGGCAGATGCGTCGCTTCGCACAAGCTGCTTGCGGTTGTAGAAGGTGCAAGCATGTGCAAGCGTGTCACACAGCTTTGCCTTAAGGCATGATGGAGCAGCCTGGCAGCGAGAGAATCATCGAAGCCGATCTGATCCTGCTTGCGCTTGGCTTCCTGGGCCAGATCCCTACAAAGTGCGATCGATGCCATGCTGAACCACAACTGTGCAAGGCCCTGAGAACCCTTTGGCAGCTGCCTTCGGCGTCGACATGGACGAGCGGGGTAACTACAAGGTGGGTTTGCTGACAGACTTATGTGACTCTCTGTGTCGCTGAGCACTGCATTGGTCTGCATAGCTGTCTCGGGCCTGCAGGCTCTGTACCAGAAGAGCGAGGGAGATTTCCAAACGTCAAACCCGAAGGCAGGGGGGTTGGGCAGATTCCGCAATGGGCTTGTCTTGATGCTGTTCACTTGCGTGGGTGTCACCAATTTGCAAAGGTCTTCGCGGCGGGTGACTGCAGACGCGGACAGTCTCTCGTTGTGTGGGCCATCAAGGAGCCAAACTTCTTCATCCTTCGCACTGGATTGCTCCGTCCTGTTCCCTGTCCCAGGAGGGTCGCGATGCTGCTACGGCTGTCAACGGCAGCCTACCTGGCGTTTTCAGCAAAGCAGTCCTGCTGATGTCGACTGTGAGATGGCTCATGATCCTTACCCAGGCTACCTTACAAACGAGTACCCGGCGTGAGCGTGGCAGTGCACCGGAAGAGACGGCTAGATGGAGTCTAGCTCCTGGTCTACTTCCCTAATTTCAATTCTACTCTTGCAGACAAGCAATTCTTGCGACAGTTTTTGTGAAATTTGCAAGCATGGCAGCCCATCAGCCAGACTAAAGTGGGAAGCACAATCAGTCCTAGGGAAGCCCGATTGCAAACAAGCTGGTCTTGATCCGGCAGTGGGTGGACAAAAGCCTGGATGATGGCTGAAACATGATGCTGAGTGGATAAACCCCCAGCAATGTGTACCATGTCACTGCTATGCAGCCTGTGCTGCAAGCTTCGCCGTTCCTTTCAACTTAGCAAGAGCGGTGACCCCGGCTGGTATCTCTCTAGATCGAGATCTTTCTTGAACAGCTACAGTGTGTGCTGCAGCAGAAAAGAGCAGTGCATGTCACTCAGCCAGCTGTTGGCTACACTCATCGGAAGTGGGCAGGCAGCAGGCTCGGCTCAGTGCCGGCAAATTCCTGTGAAGTTAACCCAGTCTGAGTCTCATGAGCTTCATGAGACTTCTCGGATCTGTGGAGTGGCCAGATTGAGCCGATTCGATTGGAGTCGGAGCTTCTGCTCGCACATCACAAGTGGTTGTGAACATCCCACGAGATTCCAAGTCAAGATTCTGTCTGTGTCTGAGATCTTTTTGGGTGAGCGACAGATTGCTCGGTGGGCCGAGCAGAAGCTGACAACGAAATGATGACAGCAGCATGGAGTCCAACCAGCATGCGCGCTACTAGTAAGAGACAAACTAGCAACAGACAGTGTGTGCCGATGTCGGTTTTCAGACCAAGATGCGGCAGTCTGCAAAGGCGCTATGTCTCAGTCAATGGTGGGTTCTGTGAGGGCGTAGAAGCTCTCGAAGCCAACCAGGTTGGGTCTTCCAAAGATGCAGAACATCAACTTTCGCGGTTTCAGCTCAGACAAGGTTGGTACTTGCGCTCATTCCTTTCCTTGGAGTTGTCGTAACCCGCGCCAGCCCTTGCTTTTTCATGACACCTCCGGCACGGGGCTCAGGGTTCATGCTTGCCCCACTTTCATTTTGTTATGCATGTATTGAGTTTGGC